TATTCCAGTCGGAAGGCTAGGAAATGCATGAGAGCGAATAGATTTTTCGTTTAGAGTTCGTTTCGTTTTATTTTGCTATTTATTATTTTAATTTTTTATTTTTTTTATTTTGTGTTTATTTTATTTTTTCTTAATATAATTTTTTTGTCACTACGAACCTAATATTTTCATATGAATTTAGAATGACGAAATACTATCACTCAGCGAGTTTTGTCGAAAAACTCTGAGAATGGTCATCTTCTCCCGTATAACGATTCTTCGATATAAAGCGTTATATGAGGATCGGTCGAAACCATTTTGACAGCGCGTTAATGTACTAAATTCCATCAAAATGTCTCATAGCTTCAGGTGAAACACAGCAATACATGGACAGACGGACGGACTGACAAGCTTAGTTCGGTTAAGAAAGTGATACTGAATCGATCGGTATAATAAAAGTTGGATCAATCTTAAATCCGTCTACGTATTAGATACGTCCGTACAAACGTAATATACTCTGTGCCACAAACAGTAAAGGAATGCAAAACAAAAATTATTATCACTATACACTATGAAGTGTGTATATATAGTTGGAGAAGAGTGGTAGTATATAAAGCGTAGCAAAATGTAAGAAATCTCAAGCAAATAAGAAGACCCCAAAGCCGGCCAGAGAAACTCGATTTTAGTGCAGTCTTACTACTACATCGTCCTAATAAAACGCGCATTATCTACCATTATCTCCATATAGCTTAGGAACTATATTGTTTCGCACATTAATTGCAAAATAGAAAAGACATCGCCTTGCCTTCTGGAAGACACGAAAGTGCTCGCAAAAAAAAATCTCTTTTCTTGAGCTTTCTTATCAGGGCACTACCGATCACAACTTATGCGTCTAGAATAACAAAATAAACTTTTCTAAAAACATGACTCAAAATCTTCGCACTGCGATGGTTAGTATGTTATAATCGAAAAATCGGGATTTATCAAAAAAGTAGCTCCATGGCCTTAAGAGAATGTAATCTGGCGCTTTCTGTGAAATTTCGAGCACAATCGAGTTTGTGACACGTTTCGCTTCAATTCGTTTATTCGCCACACGATTTCGAATAAAATTCTGCCCACGTGCTCATTGCTTTTGATACTGGCAAAGTTATCCAACACTTTCAAAATATGTATAAAAGGGCTTATCGGCAATCCGACTTCTCCGACATTTTGAAAATTTGGTTTGGCTTCGCCATTTTACAAATTCAATATAAACGGAACAAGTTCTAATTGCGATATTATTCTATAAGGAATCAACTCCTTTAAAAACAATTACACGCTGACCGAGTTTCGAACCCGGCGTCCAACTTAGCAGTAGGCACCACAAATGACATAAAGTTCCCCGGTTTCTTTTACATTTTGTAATTCCTTTATAGTAGTTGTTAGTTTATGTAGAATTCAGCCAGATGGCCCAGTCCCAATTCCTGGTAGACTAGGCCGCCCGTAAATTCTACTTTATGGGGGTAGTTTTCTACCAGCGCCCCGGCGTGCAAACCTTGCATTAGTTTTTCTTTGCACGATATTTAAATCGTAAGGAAAATGAAATAATCTGCGTATCCTACGTACGTACACGTCGTATGTCCTCCAAGTCTGGTTGCATATCTGTCGTTCGTCCGAGATTTGAAATCCTGATCATATGATGTAAACTTTATTAAGCCTCAAGATCTCAAATTTGTATCCGTTAGCAATCTGCAAGTCAAATTCGAAAATGCGCAGAATGAGACCTTAGCTCCATTAACGATTACAAAAAATTCTCAAGATTTAATCTGCCCACATGCCATGGCTCCAAAATTGAATTTGGTCAAAGTTTCCAAGTTCAAGAATGCCTTTATTTATCTGAAATTTTTTATAAATAATTTATTATCTTATATGTATGGGACGTGGTACGTAACGCAATCGTAAGACTACAACGTAATTAGTTTTTTCTGGTAGCTTTTATTGTTTTTCAAAGTCATGTCTAAAATCTGGATGGAATTGGAATCTGGATCTCTGAAATTCTTTTGTGACACAATTGCATTCTTTCAGTGACTATACACTCTGTACGTTAGTTAATAGTAATAACTTGAGTTCATGATAATGTGTTGTGATGATAAAATAAAATTTCTTCTACAATTCGTTAATTTTTGTGATTATTTTTTTCGGTTTGCTTTTGACTGTGCGGTAATTTATAAGCAAAGACACAAAGTTGTGCTTTTCAAGCGAAGGCACAAACCAAAATAATGTGGATGAACTTGATGGGCTGGCTATCTTCACTTTGAAAAATTATAATATCAAGAGGAATGTAAATGTTTGTTTGTACACATACTCAACGCGCACCTTGTTACGTCATATTTTGCCTGAGTGATCCATTGCTCTTTCTCAACAATTTTGTTTTTTCTTCATATATAAATTTTAGTATTCTCCATGCATATACCGCTATACATATATATATATATATATATATATATATATCCCTTTAAGTCCCACGTCGATCGTTCCAATATTCCTGAAGTATATTTTTTTTTTTTGGGAACTTTTAAAAAAATGATTGTTACTTAATATGTAAAATGTATACAAAGTCCGGGAGATGTACATTTTAAATTATTGAAACGAAAAGCGAAGAGTTTGCTCTATCTGTCAAATTGAATGCAATTAGCACAATTCTTTTTTCTTTTTCATTTACTTTTGCTTTCTTACTAATGCAAATTAATCTAAACATTGCCATATGCTTGACGAAAACCCATAAAAAAATTTGGTTTGCTTTTAGTCAAAGCTAAGTGCGACAAGAGTATAATAAACTTGTACGGATATACGTAAATTCTAGAAGAGCTTAATTTAGACTCAACATATATTATACCACTCAAGTTACTTTAAATAGGGTTGTCCGTCTGTCCGTCCGATGTTTGTTCTTATACACTTACGTTTAAACTGCAGGTCATAATTTGGGAAATATTTTGAGAAAACTTGGTACGGGGAGAGAGACAAAGACAGAGGGAGAGAGAGAGAGAGAGCTCTAAAATGAGTCCGATCGCACAAAATTATAAAAAATATGAAAAATGATCGAACACACTCGCATATTTAAATGCTATTAAAAACTATAAGCGTTCGTATTGAAAAAAGATCTATTCGAAATCAGTTTAGAATTACTATTTACGATATAAGCTTAGTGCATTACGTTGTAACTATGTAGATCTATTTCTCGGGTATCTATCTCCCTAAAAAGAGCTTTAATGCTTAGTAATCTATTCATATGGCAAGAAGATAAAATTTTTCGTTTTCCATCTCAAAGATATACCTAAAGTAATAAAAATTTGCTCTTTTTGCCATATAAAGGCTTCCGTTCTATTACTTAGTGATTATATGGAACTGTGTTCGATTTAAAGAAAAAAAAAAAAAGAAAAATTTTTTTTACTGATTTTGGTGAAAAAATAAAAAAAAAAAGAAAATTCTCAGATCGGGATCCGATCTAATGAATTTTTAGTACCATTCGTGTTTGGGCCAAAACATGTAAGTTTGTACGCAATTTCGCCTAAATTTCTGAAAACGAATAACCCATAGATTAAATAAAAAAATTCATCGCCAGGCAAGAAACAAATACACAGACGAGCACACTGTCAAGCTTGGAATGATTTGGAAATATGATGTTAAGCACAAGCTGTGTTGGGTATAACAATATATATAATCTACGAAAAATATTGAAATCTAGACTACAGCGCCCCATACTTAATTACTTATGCTGTAAATCATACATCATAAGAGTTCCACTTTGATTGTTTGCCCTCTAGAAATTTCCATGGTGAAAACTCTTGAAAAAAAAATTGATTAAGATTTGACATCCTGCGGAACTAAGTATTAATCAACAAAACATCTTTGAATCATTCACATCAGATTGGTTGCAAAAGGAAGCTCGATACTTGCTCGCCACATGAATTAACAGAGAAAAATTTAATGAATCAGATTTGTATATGCGTATATATAAGGAAACGAAACGAAATTGAATCATTCTTGAAGAAGTAGACAACGGGCGTTGAAAATATGTCACATACGAGAATTATTTGCAAAACGTATTGTGATTCAAGGGCGGAACAATTTGCAAGAAGTATGATAATTTCCGGACTAACGCCATGAAAAATAATGTTTTACTTTAGGATTGGAAAGGAATCGTCCATCATAAGCTCTTCTAAAGTGAACGGGCGTTTCATTCCCGCTCAAAACTAGTGCATAGAAAGCGCGCAATTGGATTAATTTTTTTTGTTTACCTACAACTAACTTCTTTATTAGTAATTTTCAATAACCTAAAGACGACTATAGGTCGGCGTAAGAGGTTAGTGTTAGATATATAGAATGTCAACACATTGTTGACATAGGCGCCAAAAGCAGTCAACAAAAAATAAGAGAACTACGGTGGAAAATTTGCTATCTGCTGAAAAGTCTTTTACTTTTGCTATTGTGTAAAGATGACCTCGATAGAGATCTTTGAAAATCATTTCCTTCAGTTTGTCGATCATATATCCGAGGAATTCTGCGCGAAAACAGTGCATATTCCGAACACTTTAGAACTTTTTTTAAAATGTAACAAAATTAGCTTTGAATTTTGATGCAAAAATTTGTTAAAGGAATTTCTTTTTTTTAATATGACGATGTTTTCCAAAATGTCGATATCGATTTTCATAAAACGTTTATAGTTCATATTTGAATTTAGCTAAACGCTAACGCTAAGCCTATTGTAAGAAATCGTTAGTTCAAATTGTGAAATACCTAAAGTTCGAAATTTTGCCGAGATGGCAGCTCTTACACTATTTGTAACGGTCATGCGCATCGTTAATCTGAACACTGAGAGGATATGAAAAAGACGATATAAACACCGTTGGTTGGTAGGAAATCAATGACAATTTTCCAATAGATAAGTGTGGTCTTCATTTAATTTTTCTTAAATACATACACAAAGCGATAAAGTGTTAATTGAATTTTAAAAAAAAAAAAAAAAAAAAAAAAAAAAAAAAAAAAAAAAAAAAAAAATAAACAAAAATAATAGAAAAATGCTAAAATGAATAATTGAATACTAGTAGGGCAGAGTAAAAATATGTTAACCGAAGTCCTTGAATTATAAATTAAAGAAATAAAAATAAAAAAAATAAAAAACTTTGCTTCGGTTTAAGCTTGAAGAACAACTAAATTTTAGCAGATATGTCCGCCAAGGTAAGAGAAGCGGAATATAAGAAAAATTTTAAAATACACACAAACACACAAACATACACACATAATCAAACACGCATGCATATGCACATGCACATGCACAAACTAATTATTGTAATAACAATAAATTTTAATAACTTAGTTTGTTTACTTTAATATTTAATCGCTTTTACAAGTTGTCAGCAGAGATGCAATCGCGACAGCAGCATATGTTAAATTGGTAGAAATCAAAATGTATATATAATAATCGATATCATATAAATGAGAAAAGATTTCGTATTGTAAATTAAACAATATGCACTGAGCCAATTAATGTAGCTCTGCTTAAATTTGTATATATATTTGCTATCCCTAATTGGGGGGGGGGGGGGGGG